GATTGAGAGACGAGTGGATGGATTGATGGAGAGAGGGAGGGATTGAGGGAGGGGTGGGTGGGGAAGGAGGAAGGGATTGAGGGATGAAATATTTCCATTCACTAAACTACTGTCTTCTTTGCAATTGTGATACAATGACTTCAGAATACAATTAAACCTTTAAGGTTTGTCCCAGGATATTTTTGGAACATTGAATTAAATCCAACAAAGCCATCTTAGGCATCTTTTCTCAGAATTGTTCCATTATATTCAGTGATGGTCTAAATAAATGCACACGTTTCCAGTTGCACTTCTGCAGGTAGCTGGCTATATTAAGGTCCTTTCCTGCATACGTAAGTAAAACACTATAAGTGAAATTACATCCTTAATTATATCCTTTGGTATGGTTTTTTTTTTTTTGGAAAGGTGGCTACCATCCAGTGAAAATTGGAGATCTTTTCAATGGTCGATATCACGTTATCAGAAAATTAGGATGGGGTCACTTCTCTACCGTCTGGCTATGCTGGGACATGCAGTAAGATATGTTTTTTCTCTTTGCATCTTATTTTTATCAGATGAATTGATGGATGGACAGACAGACAGACAGGTGTAGATGGATGGATGGTGGATAGATAGACAGTATAGCTTAACACACACACTACTACCATACACACACACACACACACACACACACACACACACTCACACACATGCTGCATTGTATGTGTAATGTGTTCTTTGCAATCTGCTTAACATAGCAATTTGTATGTTTATTAATGCTGCCTAATCAAACATACAATATATTGAAATCTCTTTCCCTAAGAAATGATCGGTATATTATTAAATGAATGTTGATTGAATGATTTTTTTAAATTTTTTTTTGGTCTTCTGAGCTTTTGGACTTATGCTAGAGTCTATCTTCAGGGAACTTCTCCCTAATGGAATCTAGAGTGAAGTTCTCACATTCCAGGAAAGAGAAGTTCCTTAAGGATGGGCTCCCAGCACGGGTCTGAAAGCTTGGACGAAGTTTCATCACTTCCTGTCATACAGGAAGTGATGAAACGGGCCTATAATTCCTCCTGAAAAGCCTTGCAAATGTTTTTTCCAAGCCTCTGGGAGGCCAATAAAGGCTTTAAACCAGCCAAAAAATCAGCTGTGAGGTGCAGTGCAGGTAAGGGGGTGGGGTGGGGACTGTGCGCACATGCGCAGGGGGCGTGGGGAGGGAGGGCACGCATTGCATTCTGGGTGCTGGCATGCAAGTGCGCAATTTTGGGCACAAGAGCCCCAAAAGGTTAGCCACCACTGGTATATAGCATTGATACTTTTTCTTTTGAACTATTTATTTTAAAGGGGGAAACGGTTTGTCGCCATGAAAGTTGTAAAAAGTGCTCAGCATTATACGGAGACAGCCTTGGATGAAATAAAATTGCTGAAATGTGTAAGTATCACAACAACTTCCCATTCTTTCTAGCAGTGAATTTTGTTTCTTCAGATACAGGTAATTTTACAACTCATTTAGAAATAAGGGACACAGTTTTAAAGCTACAAGGCCTTTTCAAACCTGCGTTGTCTTTAAAATAAATGTTGGTACTTTTAAAATATAATGTTGGAGCACTTAATTCAAAAAAGTACTTGATTTTTTTTTTTTTGTCTTCATTTTTAGGTTCGTGAAAGTGATCCTAGCGATCCAAATAAAGACATGGTGGTCCAATTAATTGATGACTTTAAAATTTCCGGCATGAATGGCATACGTATCTTTTCTATCTATTTTTCATTTTAAGCTCATTAAAAACGGTTCATCCTCTTCAGAATATTGAACTATTGTTAGTGGGTCAGTTCTTTAAAAATGAATTATGCTTTTCAAAATATGTGTTGTGACAAATAACTTTTGTAATAATTTGAATGTTTTTGGTATTTTTGGAGATAAGATTTTAAAATTCAGGTTAAGGCTTATACGGGACTTATCTTACAATATTTTCTTAAAATACTGACCACATAAGTTTCCATGTTCTAAACCAGGGCTTGTCAAACTCAAGGCCTGTGGGCTGGATCAGCCTCGTGGGGTGCTTAGATCTAGCTCATGGGGGCCCACCCTGGAAACAGTGAATGACTGGCCTACAATGCCTCTACCAGTGAAAATGGAGCTCCTATAGGCTGTGCATGGCCCATCCGGGCTTCGTTTTCGGCCACGACGGCCTCCTGCAGCCCTCTGCTGGTGAAAACTTCAGCCTTCCCAAGCTCTGTTTTCATTGGCAGAGGGCTGCAGGAGGCCATTGCGGCCAAAAACGGAGCCTCGATGAGTGACGTCGAGCTGGCCACATCCACCCCGGCCACTTGCCGCCCCCCCCCCTTGAGGTCAGATACAATCCTGATGTGGCCCTCAATGAAATCGAGTTTGACACCACTGTTCTAAATTGTTCTAAACAAAATGTCCTTAAGCACTGCATATACAGCTATCAATTACGATATACATTTATTTTACAGTGTTTAATTTATACAATATAATATTTATTTTTACACGTTTGTCTATTTTTATAGCAGTGGGAATGTGTCTATTTTCATAGTGTCTGCTTTGATAGTCAAACAAAAGATACATTGTCGCTAAATAAAGCACGAGCTGATTCTATAACGGATCTACCATGTTACATTATAATTCTAATTAGTTATAAGATGTTGCTACAGGAACAATTTATGTTCTTTTGACTTATATTAGACTGAAAATTCCTCTTGCTGTTGCCTAAGATGTTTTCATAGAGATGTTTTGCATGCACTATGATCTTTATTTTTTCCTTTTTATTACAGAATTTTTATGAAATTAATTTATGGGCTCTGCTCATACTTTTTTTCCTCTCCCACTGTTCAGTTATCAGAGAGACTGGAAAAGTCCTTTCCGTTTTCTTGGCAAGGTTTTTCTAAAGTGGTTTGCCATTGCCTCCTTCCTAGGGCTGAGAGAGGATGATTGGCCTGGGCTCACTCAGATGGCTGTGTGCCTAAGATGAGACTAGAATGCACAGTCTCCTGGTTTCTATAGTGTGATGCCTTAACCACTATACCAATCTGGTTCTCATGCTCATATTTATCAGCCCGTAAATCAAGAGTGTCAAACTCAAGGCCCGCGGGCCAGATCCGGGCCCTGAGGTGCTTAGATCTGGCCCGCGGCCCATCCTGGAAACAGCAAAGGACCGGCCCACGATGCCTCTGCCAGCGACAACAGAGCCTGGGCGGGCCGTGCGCAGCCTCCCCGAGCTCTGTTTTCTCTAGCACAGGGCTGCAAGAGGGCATCGTGGTCAAAAATTGAACCCAGGTGGGCCTCATGTAGCTTCCCCGAGCTCCGTTTTTGCCAGCAGAGGGTTGCAGAAGGCTGTCATGGCCGAAAACTGAGCCTTGATGAGTGACATTGAGCTGGCCATGCCCTCCCCTCTTTCCTTCCAAGGTCAAACGCAACCCTGATACGGCCTTCAATGAAATCGACTTTTATACCCCTGCCGTAAATGGTCAGCATGTTTAATTTTGATGGGTCTAGTCTAGGATTGTGCAGTTCTGTCCTTACTTTATGTAAAATACATTCTAGAAGAGTTCAGCCCATCTTTTGATTTCAGTAGCATTCTTTGTAATGGCTTTGTAATTGTGCACCAATAAAAATCACTTGCCATTTATCCTTAATTGAAACACAGATGTCTGTATGGTTTTTGAAGTACTTGGACATCACCTTTTAAAATGGATAATTAAGTCCAGCTATCAGGGCCTTCCAATCCATTGTGTGAAAAGTATAATACGGCAGGTAAGAGTCCCATATTCATATGTCATTAATTCAGGTATTAATATGTCATTGTCTAGCAGAATTTAGAGAGATTGTATTTTTAGATATTTTAGTCTTTTTTTGTAGTACCCTGTTTCCCTGAAAATAAGACCCAACTGGAAAATAAGCCCTAGCATGATTTTTAAGGATGCTTGTAATATAAGCCCTACCCAGAAAATAATCCCCAGTTAAGATTGTCAGCCAGACAGACACATTTGGAATCATATTTTCCCTAAAAATAAGGCCTAACTGGGAAATAAGGCCTAACACATTTTTGGAGCAAAAATTAATATAAGACACGGTCTTATTTTTGGGGAAAAGCGTTCCAACTATTTGTAATGTTAAGGAGAAACGTCCAGAAATTCATCATAAGCACACAGCTATGAAATACTGAGATAAGTTAACACTTGGAAAGAAGAATATTGGAAGAGTTCCACTTTAAAAAAATTAGTTATTAACATTCCCAATTGCACAAAAGCGGTGTTTTACAACCTGTAGCGGTAGATGAAATGACATTGTGCTATACCACTTAATGCAGGTAATCCTTGACTTATGACTGGTGACTTACGACCTGAAGATCCCTCATTAAACCCCTTCAATGGTCACGTGACTAAACTTCAGACTCTCGCAAAAAATGTTTTTTCACACTTATGACCATTGCAACATCCGCAGTGGTCACGTGATCAAAATTCAGACGTTTGGCAACAGACTCATATTTATGATGGTTGCAGTGTCTCAGGGTCATGTGTTCCCCTTTTGCAACTTTCTGACAAGCAAAGCCAATGGGGAAGCCGGATTCACTTAACAGCCATGTTCCTAACTTAGCAGCGGCAGGGACTTGCTCAGGGGTCAAAAATTCCAGCAACCGGTTTGCTGCCCGGTTGCTGGGTGGGTGTGGCCATGACTGGCGGGGCCTACCGGAACTTCCCGTTTCCGGCTTCTGATAGGCCTCCAGAAGCCGGGAAAGGCCATTTTTGCCCTCCCAAGGGTCCAGAGGCATCCTCTGGGAGGGCAAAAACAGTCTCCCTCAGCCTCTGGAAGCCCTCCGGAAGCCGGAAACAGGCCCATTTCCAGACTTCCAGAAGGCCCATTTTTCTCCCTCCCAGAGCCTCTGTGCGGACCCTGCGCTTACCTCCAATGAAAATGGGCCATGTGGAGACTCCTGGGAGGGGAGGAGCAGGGCGGGCACTCAGTCATTTGAAATATCAGTTTGGCGAACCAGCTGTAGCTTTAACATCCGGTTCATGCGAACCGGTCCAAACCGGTAGAATTCCCCCCCCCCCCCCGGATTCGCTTAACAAAAATGGCAAGAAAAGTTGTAAAAACAGGGCCCCGTTTAACAAATGTCTCACTTAGCAACAGAAAGTTTGCTCCACTGCGGTCATAAGTCAAGGTTTACCTTACAGTGTTACTTCCAGAGAAATGTATGGCGCCATACTCGTGAGGTTAAGCAACATCAGGAGGTCTGTGAATAAACTGTTGAATCCTGACCAGCGTCCTTGTTTTTGATGGTAATGCAATTATTCTCCGTCTGAATATTTTGCAATCAGGTATTGCAGGGTTTAGATTACCTTCACAGCAAATGTAAGATCATTCATACGGATATCAAACCAGAAAACATCTTGATGTGTGTAGATGACACCTACGTGCGGAGAATGGCGGCGGAAGCAACCGAGTGGCAGAAAGCAGGGGCGCCTCCTCCCTCTGGCTCAGCAGGTAGCAGCATTCAAAATTCCTATTTTCCGCAAATGAGACAACGCGGAGCTGTAATAGAATTTTACTCACTGGGAACAGTACGTTTAAATATGCTGAATTGGAAGGTGTAAATTTTCAGTTGCTTTGCAAATAGCCAAAGGAACAGGTATTTGTTGTGGTCTGTTGGCCACTGGCCCCCTCCAGCAGCCAAATCAGAGGAGGAGGCATGGGAGTCAGGATTAGCATCAATGCAACCTGAGAGCTCTGAGGGGATAGAGGGAAATGGAGTTGGCCAAGGTAGAGAGAGGCAGAGGCTGGGCCGTCCATCAGCCCTCAGAACGTGAGTCAACAGCCCCCAGGTCTGGAGGTGACTGTTGAGGAAGAGGAGGAACAGCTGTATCCAGTGCCTGATGTGCGGATACACAGAAGGCAGAGGAGAGGAGAGCAGTGGAAATCTACGGGCTAGTCCTTGGAACGAGAGTCACCACTAGTAACGAAGTCCCACCCTAGTTCTGGGGATAAAAGGCAGGGGATGGAGATGAATAGATGTGGCAGGCAACCATTCATCTTCCAGCTAGCCGGACAAACACACACACACAACGTGTAGCTAATGCCAGCTCGCCCTGGCTTTAAAAAATATATATCTACAATTGGAGGAGATCCAGATTTATATATATACTGTATATCTAAGCTAGGTCTTGGCAGCCCGGCTGGTGTGGGAGGGGACAGGGAAGAACCGGGCCGTGTGAGCAGTGGGCCGGCGTGCATGTGGGCACAGCTTGACTTGCACAAATTGAGCTGCGTGCGTAAGCCTGCCATTCGGGTGAGTTGAGCTGCGCACACGTGTGCTTTGGACCCGCTGCTCACGTGGCCCGGTTGTGAATAGGCCACAGCCTTGTAGTGGGTAGCAATCCAGGGATTGGGGACCCCTTGCATATCTGATCTGAGATTTTCCTTTTATGGCTCTTTTATGACAATAGCAGAAAAACTACCCTGTTTTCCTGAAAATAGGACCTACTCCGAAAGTAAGTCCTAGCTTGATTTTTACATGTGCACCCACTATAAGCCCTACCCCCAAAAA